AAATTTATTGTAACGTAACGCCTACTCTTAGCAATTTTGGCAAAATGCAACTATTCGTCTTGCATCAACTCAAACGAGATAGGAGGAATGCATCCCATATATTTTCAACGTCAGACCAGGAATGAGTACATTCTTAGACAAGGCTTACTTTTGAGGTCGACTATGCTGCCGGTCGAACATTTTGGAATGTATCAATTCCACGGCCAAATGCGGGAAATTATCACTACCTCGGAGGAAGAAGATTTGTGACAAGATGAGTTCATCTAGGCAACCATGACGACAGAATTAAAGTGCTTTTACGCTTTTTCAAGCCATGCTATTTGCTAGTTTACTTTCCACTCATGCTCATCCGTACATCTGGCTCATCCACTCTGGGCCTCACCTGAATTTAGGTCTGTTTGCTCCACCGCGACTTCTCCGGGTCTTCTTCGGCCAACACGTCCAGTCATCGAGGGGACTGTAGAAGGATCAAAGGTTCTGTCGTGGCGCCGTCGTGTACTGCCCGCCTCGGGGATCGAATGGCCCGGAGAGACCAGGGCGGGTGGGCTGGTACCGGTTGTCGAGTTGAAAGGGGATGAGACTAAGTTGGAGCCCGAGATGGCAACCGTCAGGTTGGGAATGGATGCAGTTGAAGTGGGGGAGGCGAGTTGGATTCTTTTTGCGCCACGATGAGGTTGTAATGGCTCCTTTGTCTTGCCGGGCTGGCCAGGAATTGGCGGCGGCGCGTAGACCAGCGGAGAAACATGGCGGCCCGGATGTGTGGCAAACGGAGAGATGAGGCAGGAGGGCGGTTGAGAAGCCGAGGGCACCGAGAAGGCGGAGTCTGAGGCTGCTATTGTAAGGGCGTTAGAGAAGCTGGTACCACAGCCACCTGGCAACAGTGCCTGAAAGGAGAACAGCCTACTTCCCGGTGGACTATGACACGGCGAGTCTGAGGTAAGCTCGCTGAGGCAGTTGGAGTTCTGGCAACCGCAGGTGGCACCGAGTCTTACGGCCGGGATGGAGCCACCGTTGCCACCGGCAACGCTACCTCCACCAGCGCCACCATTGGGACAGAGGCAAATTTGGCCCGGCATGTCTGTTGGTGAGTTGATTTGATTGGATCGGTGGAAGACGAGGCTCTCTTCTCGCTCCTCATCATCCTCCTCCTCCTCCTCATCCTCACATTTGAAAGCTGTGAGCGCGCCCTGTCCGACCCTGCGCGGTGAGATCGGAGGTTCAGAGGTTGAAATGGCCAAGTTCTGGCTTTGGCGTCTGGGGGCCAGGGAAGGAAACAAGAAGATATCACGTTAGTTCAAGACACTGTACACAGTGCATTATCCGATTTTACTCTTTCAGAATTCCTGATGAGCTCACGTTTATTTTGAGTGAAATTGTATGAGGAAAAGAATCAAAGGCGAATTCATTTTGGCCATCCTGTTTTATGTTGTTTCTGAAGCAGGACACTTTTATTAAAGGGGAAATGTACTATCATTCTTGGTCTCATATAAGGTGACTTTCAAAACTACTAGTAAAACTTGAGTAGGAATTCCAACTACCCTAGGTCTCATATGGTGATGAAGGGCTTATAGTTGAATTATTCCACAATACTACGAATAAGCTTCATATTTCCAACTTAGCCTCACTTACTAACAGGTATTCTGCTCCCGGCTAAACTGGACTGTAGTTTAAACTTCGAATGAACTGGCCTCATCAACCTACTCAAAGTTAATCGAGCTCGGGTTTTTCAGAGTAATTGTGTAATGGTAACATGGAGAGACAACATGCTGCACTACCCAAGTTCGAGTCCCGCTCAGGGTGCAGATGCGACCCGAGCGTGGTCGAAAGTGCAGTCCACTCCTGCCTGGATGAGAATACGTCTTGGGGAGCAAGGCCAAGTGAAATTCACTAGCCTCGTTGTAAATCATAGTGTCTAGTCCTCTAAATATTGAGATGTGAGAATAGCTGAAGGCTTAAGACGAATGTATCAAAGTGGCAAAACGGTGAGCTTAAGCCCTCTTTGCGCAATTAGGCAATCATAACTCCAAGGCAATCTGCCTTCTTGGATATGAAATAGAGCTGGACTTCAAAAAATAAATAGAGTTTGGTATTGATGTTGGAGTAACTCTCATTTCGTTAGAAGAGGCTGGTGGAAAGGACTCGTAATTTGGTCTCACCGAAAGCTGTAGGAGGATTGTTTTGGAGCTTTGACTGTTGATTTGTGCGAAGAGGTCCTCGGCGCACCGCTCTGCCACCCCAATGAATCCTTGCTTAGCTTCCGTCCATCATATGACGAACATCGTCAGAATAGAACAACATGTTTAACGGTAGAAGTTGTTTGACCTTGCTTTCGCAACTCGGTCATATTGGTAGGAAGACTTAGAGAGACGCACCTTCTCCAGA